AGAACGAAACCACGGTTTACAACTGACCACCACTACCATATGCCCGTACCAGACGCGCATTCTCACTCGCCAATGCCTCAAGACCCCTCGCCGCCCCCAACCCCTCCAGGTCTTTGCACTTTATTATCCTCTTCCCCCTCGGTGTTCATCTATCCGATCTAGACATTAAACTATCCAGGAAGCGGGAGCGTGAGGTCTCTCTCGAGCCAGCCAGCACACCCAAGGCCCTCAATGTACGATTTTTTCTAATGCTTGGTTAAATTCACTATGCCGACGGTTGTACAGGACAACGAACTACCCCGAGAGCCCAGGGACACACGTACCCCTGCAAAGAAGAACAAGACCACCTTAGACGCCACTGAAGAGGAAGACGACGTCTCGCGATCCAGATCCAATTCTGGCTCTCCCCCTCTGAGCGCCTCGCCTCCACAAGAGATGAAGATTAAGGTACGGCAAATAAGCCAGGGAGTGGAGGATATCAACTGGCGGAACAAGACTGTCATCAATCTAGATAAAGATATTGGAATCGATCCAACCTCCACATCCACTGCCGTAGAAGACGACAAGGACAGTAGCGACGCTTCAGATGGGTCGGCAGATGGCGAAGGTGAGCTAAATGGCACCATTTCGAAGTTGCGTGAGCTTACTCTGTGGTGCCATCAAAGCATCGAATCATATGCCTACCATAGAGGTGGCAGAGTCTGATAGTACAGACAAGAGCCTGAAACGCAAATTGTCGGAACGGGGGACCAGCCAAGGTCCGCAAGACAGTGCTCAGGCACCTCCCGAGCCTCTCAAACGGTCTCGAGACGATGCCGAGAAGGACGAGAACCCACGGGAGACCAAAAGACCGTCACCACCACCACCACCCGAATCGAAGTCTCCCAAGTCACCGAAGAAGGCACCTGCTACCCTGCCCGCGACTTCTAAGCTGGTAAGCGTCAATTTGCGCGTCTTTAGCTTATCTTTGCCTGATCCTTTGTTTAGAACGGATTCATGGCCTACGCTTCCCCAAATTCGCCCTTCTCCGCTGTGAAAGGCCAAAACATTTTTGCATCCAACAAGGCTGCCTCGCCCCCTCCCCCTGAAAAGCAGCCACCTGCGCCACCTATGACTATCTTCGGTTCGGCGGACCCTTCTAGCTCATCTTCGACCCCTGCCGCTTTAAAGCGCACCGGGTTCGAGGCTTTTGCATCTCCGCTGTCGCCCTTCGCATCCGCCTCGCGTTCCAAGTCACCTGTCTTGGGTTCGACTTCCAAGCTCGGCAGGTCGAAATCTCCGCCCAGACGCGGGAACTCCATGAATTCCAACGCCTTTTCATCTTACGCAAACGGTGTACAGAGCTTTGCCATTCCTCCTTCGAAGCGTGCTCGAGCTGGTACGCCTAATAGCTCTGCGGAGGGCACTCCAGCTGTCAGCGTCTTTGGCAGGGCCGATGATGGAGCAATTTCGGACAGTGGGGACGAGGATGAAAAGGATGCTGTGGGAAGCTTTAGTGCCAGGCTTAGGGCCGGAAAGAATGTCAGCGATGAGGGCGATATGGAGCAGCAGAGCATGTTCAAGCTGACAGAACAACCTGGTGCGTCGTTTTCAATGCGTAAACTTCTACAAAACCATAACTCTTTTTTGTATCTAGTTTTGACGGGAGAAGAGGATGAACAGACTGTCCATCAAGTACGGGGTAAATTGTTCTCCCTTGTCGATGGCACTCAGTGGAAAGAGCGGGGAACGGGTACTTTGAAGTTGAATGTCAAACGCTCAGACGGCAGTGGTGCACGTCTAGGTACGTCTTTCCTGTGTCTGATGAGACTAGCCTCTGATGTCTAGAAAAGTCATGCGCAAGGAAGCGGTGTATTCTTTATTGCTCAACGTAACTTTATTTTCTGGGATGCATTGCTCACTGGCCCAAGATCCGCGATACTTGAGGCTGAGCGTCGTCGAAGACGGAGCAATAGTACACTACAATCTGCGGGTACTACATTTCCCTTCGTTCTCGGAATTACTTCACTGATGTTCCTTTCACAGCTCGCGAATGCAAAGATTGCCAAGGAGCTCCTGGAGGAAATCATGGCGAATATACCCTCTGTATAGGCATTCGGCTGGTTGTTGACTTGTCTTTATGCTCGATTAATATTGCGCGTACATTTCTCCTTGATCTCCTGCTATCCTAAACTGCTGCTTCCCAAAGTACTGTACATAGTATACGTAGTATGGGTGCCCTCCTAAATAAGCCAAATTTCCACAGTCTTGAGCGCTGCGCAGTTGTCACTCCCTAGTCAGGGGATATTGAATTATAATAAACCAGTGTGCCTGGACTCGGACATCACACGTTGGCGTTGAAAGATTCTCACGAATTGCTCACGAACGATGAGCACATTCCCGACCGCGTCCACTTTTCTCTCCGGATCCCCCACGTTTTCTTTGCTTATGCTCACCGTAAGAACAATCTCTTCTTCTGCCTTTTTTGTTCCTGCCCTTCCTCTGACTGACTTGTCATTAGATCTCTACCGTCGTTTAACTTATGGACACTCATCTCATCCTCTATGGGGCCCTCGCACTTTCTGGCGGAATCTTCTTATCTGTGAGTTTCTACCTTCAAATTTAGTGTAGCACTTCTGTGATGACTCCCTTTCATCCTTGTTCTTCGAGTTGCGGGCCTCCTTTACTGGTGTGTGCTGTGACGAGGACGACGCATTTGGGTCAGGGTTCATACCCCTGTACTGAACTCATATTCTGCTTTCCATCTCGTTACCGTTTACTCATCTGGCTCAGTTGTACATAGCTCTCGTCTTCTGGTCGCCGCCCCCAATAGTTACCCATGAATCGGAGAAGAAATATCGCTCACATGCGTCACCCAAGAAATCCCTCACGCTAACGCGTCTCGCGGACCCCAGCTCCGTCGACCTAACGATAGTGGTACCTGCGTATAACGAGACCGAGCGACTGCCCATCATGATGGCCTCAACCATCAAACATCTAACATCGCAGAAAAACCGGACGTTCGAAATCCTCATCGTCGACGACGGTTCGACAGATGGCACCTCCGACACAGCTCTTAAACTTGCGTCCAAATACTCAAAGCCCAATATCCGTGTTGTTACCCTGGAAAAGAACATCGGAAAAGGCGGTGCTGTGCGCCATGGCATGCTCTACTCGAGCGGAGAGCGCCTCTTGATGGCGGATGCCGACGACGCCAGCCGTATCGAAGATTTAGAAGCCCTCTGGAAGACTTTGGATACCCTTGCGCCAAATAACGGAGCGGGCGTCGTCGTGGGCAGTAGAGCCCATCTAGTTAAGTCTGAAGCAGTAGTCAAGGTACGTGTCGACTTTTCCCTGTCACCTGCATTTGATCTCTTACCCCCGACCCAGAGATCCCTCCTCCGTAACATCCTCATGTACGGTCTTCACACCATTTTACGGATCGTCGGTGTTGGCCACATCCGGGACACGCAGTGCGGCTTCAAGCTCTTTTCGCGCGCTGCGGCAAGACAAATATTCCCTGCGCAGCATCTTCCCACGTGGATCTTCGACGTCGAGCTTCTCCTTCTTGCAAAACAACTGCGTATACCCGTGGCGGAGGTTCCCATCGAGTGGCACGAGGTGGCGGGTAGCAAGCTGAATGTGATGACTGCGTCGCTCCAGATGCTTCGGGATCTATTGATTGTCAGAGCCAATCATCTACTGGGTCGTTGGAAGGCCGTTCCGGTGAAGGAGAAGGCAGACTAGAGCTTCCAATGGTTGTATTTTTACCACCTAATAACGCTGTCCTTCGAGGCACTTGCCCCATCACCTTTTACAAAGGCATGTCATGGCCAAGTTATAGCCATTCACTTGGACGAACAAGGCATCATTGAATAGTCCTACCTGGATATGCCGTATCGGTGATCCGGAACGGCGCCATGCAGTCAACGCTGATAGCCTGCCCGCTCCTAGTCTTCTCACAACATTGAGTGTGCTCGATATCGAGTTTCTATACATTCCCATTTCCTGACACTACACTCTTCTTTGCCTCGGCCCCAGCGCCTTTGCGTTCAATCGAGTTTCCATTCAAGCTTTCTCTCGTTGAGTCTCGTGAGCTTGTCGCGCTCAGCGTGATAATATTTTATACCAGTACAGCTATTCTTCGATTAAGTATGCTCAATTTTAAATGTTCGTTGCTCGTAGAGTTCGTTGGAGGATTTAATCTCTTTGTATAACTAATGTTGATGAGTCTATTGACATTCGTTTTTTTTATTTTTATTTTTTATATCAATTTTATTGTGCATCGGGCGCATAGCGCCCAATTGACATCCTTGTTTTGAGACTACGCTCGAACAGATGAGTCTTTGCGACAGTTTACAAATCCTCTGGCAACCTCAGGGCAGTGTAGAAGTGGTAGGTCGTCCCTGTTCATCCTAGCGTCGCATAGTAAATTTTGTCTCGATCGTAGTGAACCAAGAGAAGAATGGCAGCAATGATGAAGGGGAAGCGGCTGTGTTGAGACCAAAGCCACTTTGTCGGGACACACTTTCAAGCAGCCGCTACAGTGAAGGATTACATTGTGGATGTCAACAAGCCCTATGCCCGTGATTTGGAGCTCCTTGATAAATTAAATTTGGCTGTCAGACATGCCTTGATGAGGCCCAAGCTCTCAAACTAATATTACAGATTATTTCACTTCCTGAACCTTGTCGTAGTCTGTTCTAGGTTAATTAGGCTGAAAATGATATATACATTGTTTTACATGTTACGAGGCCATTTGAAGACCCATGTATGACCCTACTGTGTATTAACCCATATTTTGTGATAACATTTGGCCTGTACCTAACCGCATGAGCAGAATGGACTGTAGTCTAAGATTGGTTAAACATTCAGGGAGAGAAAATGGACACACCCGGTGTGTATTAACCCATATTTTGTGATAACCTATGCAATTTGGCCCCTAACCGCATGAGCAGAATGGACTGTAGTATTTATTTATCTAAGATTGGTTAAAAGGTAATTCATTCAGGGAGAGAAAATGGACACACCCGGAATTGAACCGGGGACCGCCCGCAGTCAGCGAGATGCTAAGCGGGCGTGATAACCAACTACACCATGTGCCCATGGATTATAAATAGAATTGATCCCTAAAACAGTTTTGTACTACGGAGATCTCTCGGAGGCAAAGATAGTCAAGACTGTCTTGAAATATGGAGTTAAGACTTGTGTAGTCTATAACTACCCTGAATGAATGCAGTTACCCTATTATCGTGCTAAGATCATCCCTGAAGAACTTCGACGATTAATCAAGCTTATTGCCATCACATCGCGCTATCTTACAATTCCCATCTTTGTTCAATGCTCATGAGATCACATCTCTGAGGCTTTGTTGCCTTTTTCCCTCTACGATTGTAGGGCGTTTGCCATGGCCAAGGACTGTAAGCATAGCTTCAGACACCCTAGAATGCGGGTTTAATGATAGGCCTCAAGATCAATGAATGAAAGTGTTCTGTATACTTTGGACTCGACCGCTGATTGGTAGATTCTATTTGTGAGAGTAACTTGGAGGAGGTCATTGACATTGCAAAACTCAACAATTTCAGGTGAAATTGCAAGTAGGTAGAGAAGACTAGCAGGTCAAGGCCGGTAAGTGGTAAATGGTAGTACCATCAGTCGCAGAAGAGTTAGACTGACTATGGCATGTTTGAGCTTGGCTGCACTGTCCACTTTCCACTATTGAGGAAGTTGTTCCTTGTTAAGCATTGAAGTGCTGAACCCGGGGCCTCTCCTAATCCATCAAAAGCACTGAATTGTGCCACCTACTATGTGAATGCAAAATGTGGCCCGTAACTTTAAAGCTGTCAGGTTCGACGGGGCAGTGTGGAGATAGATATAGTAAAGAACCCATATCAATTTGAGATGCTTGGTGCATATTAACCTGAAGAGTGAAGTATGTGAGCCTGGGAACATGACAAACATTTTGTTGAGAGGTCAGTATGGGGAAGACCACAGGGAGGATGAATGACACGAGGGCCGCATACACGTGCACGGATTTCGAGTGGCGCTGCTCCTGCTAGCTTTAGCGCCACAGCTATAGGAGATCCTTCCCTTTCCGTCCATAAATTATCAAACTCCGGAAGGCCCACCAGCACCAATACAAGCCCGTCCAGGATGGCGCACCATTCATCCACGTCCTGAGTACAAACCTAGGTCCCAGCGTGCCCCCACGAAGCCAGCTGCCCCACTGGCACCCGCAATGCCTTCCATGGCTCCTTTGGCCCCATCTCCCGCTCCCAAACCTGCTTGGGCACAGTGGAGACGTATGCCTCTTCTTTTTTTGCATCTTTCTGAGGCTCATTTACTTCAATCCCTTATCAGCAAACCCACTTCTCGCTCCGACACCGGTTGGGTCTCCAATGTCACCTCCTCCAGCGGCGGCGGCGGCGCAACCCCGTGGACTTTTTGGTGCGCTCTTCCAGAAATTCTTGGCTTTTTTGCGTTGTTTCAACATAGCTACAGGTCCTCCTACCCCGCCACTGCAGTAGACTCCTCGTTCATCACCAGTGTATCACCTCTTTATACCCTGACCATTTACTCAGTTTCATTCGTGTTTGATCTTTTATTGCTTCGCGATCTTATTGACTTTTGTCGTTTTTATGTGACTTCTTATTATACCCTGTACTCCTATCTATATATTTTTGGTTCTAGATCTTGTGTCCATAGCCGATAACTGAGTTTGATATGTAGCCAATGGAGAGGCCCAGACTGGGGTTGGCCAGCCTGGATGAGAGCGCAGACAGAAGAAAAGGTGTTTATTATGTGTCTGCCTCCGTGACAATAGCTACAGTCTGACTAAGCTTGTAAGTAGCTAAACAGTCGCAAATGACTTGCGCTCTCCTCGTGACTTGATCATACCTCAATCGTGAGGCCAAGGCCAAGAGTGTTGTCAATGCTCGGTCGTGAGGCCAAGCCCAGGAGTGTTGCCGATACTCCATGTGGACCCCTCCGCTGTGGCGGCGTCCGCGCCGCCTAAAACCATTTGTTGTTGCAGTATCTTGCCCTCGTCTATGTCCTCCCATTTGGCTTCACTATTGTGCTCAACTTCAAATCTTTCCTGCCGGACGCGTTCCGCATCCTCAATCTGTTTGGGAGCAATCAATGCTGACTCCCTAGCTTCAACGAGTGCTTGGTCAACAGCCAGCTTTGTACCGGCTTTGGGCCAGAATCTTTGCAGACGCCGCGCGCTAAAGGATCCAGGTATCAAAGAGTTGTCCAGTGTTGCCAGTGTATAAGAATTAACGTCTCTATTGACAACTTTCCGAGGTGTGGACCATTTCGGCAAAAGCTTTCTATCCGTTTTGAATGTATAATCAAGGTTGTTCCTATAAATCTGCACGAGATCCCCAGGTTTGAATACGACTTCATGCTTTGATTGAGCAAGGACGCGTTTATCAAAAGTAGCTTTCCATCTCATCGCATGTTTAACGGCTGCGGCGTACCCATCGAGCCTCTGCTGGCCCGCATAAGCCATTTGTAAATCAACGTCTTCCATCCGCAAAACAGAAGAGGCTTTGGCAATGTTTGTCTTTGGGGTATTCACCACCAATCCCAACAAAAGCTCCTTTGGGCTATAGTCGAGTGCAGGCAGCAACCTCCAATTCAGCAAACATATTGCTTTGTCTAGGTGATTGGGCCACGATCTTGGCAGGTCTTTGGCATTCATGGCATCATATTTGTCTTCACCCAGTTTGGGCGAGCACAGTCTTTTCAAGATGTGGAGAAGCAACTTGTTAGCGCCTTTGACCAAGCCGTTCACCCAAGGTGAGTATGCTGCGACCACATGTGTTTTTGTGCCCCACTTAGTGCAAAATTTGCGCACCTCCTCACAGTCAAAATGTTTACCGCCGTTGGTCATAAATGTTTCTGAAGGTGCAAAGCCTTGGAAGATGTGTCCCAACGCACTCGTTGTAGTCCTCCCAGTCCCTGCCGACCTATATTTGAACCCCCACAAATGCTGCGAGAACATGTCCAGGTACAATCTGATAGTGTGGTATCTGCCCTTCCCTTGTGGCATTGATAGGTAGTCGCTGACCAATAATTTGAAAGGATGTCTTCTTGTAATAGGATTCATAATAGCGTGTAGACGAGTCCCACCAAAATTTTTGCAGTGTCCACAGTCCTTTATTCCTTGAATTATAGACGCGTCCAGGTTCGGGCTCCAAACAGTGTCAGTGAGTTTCTTTTTTATAGCATCTCGCTGCCAGTGTCCTCTGTTAATGTGTTCTTCCTTTGCCAGTTCAACCGCTTCTGCCATTGTCACACACTCCACTCTCGCCCTAGCTCTCGATCTTCTACCTTCTCCCACTCTCCACAGCCTTCCCTCATCAATCATGTATTCCGAAGCTCTATGGCGAGCTCGATTTCTTTCTTTCATTGTGTTCCCGTGATCCAACTCCAATATAGTGTCTATTACCTCCAGGAATATGGGTTCTTCGGCAAAGCGTTTGCGTAGTGCCTCCGCCTCACTCATCCCAACCAGGACGAATATGTCATGGGTTAAACCAGTCACTGCCTCCCAATCTTCGCAAACGGTCCACTCACTACCGTCGCCTATGGATTTCTCCATCCCCTCAGCCGCCCTACTTAGTCCATCTGCGACCACATTAATCTTTCCTGGAACATGTCTGATGTCAACAATTTGATGACTGAGGATGCCGTCCCTCCATCTCACGTGAGTTGCATTCAGCTTGTCGTTCATCACAAAGTCCCTCAGCGCCTGGCAATCAGTCTCGATTTCAACAGGAAAACCCCACACGATGTCGGAGAACTTATCCAATGCAAACTTCAACGCAGCAAACTCCAGTAAAAATGGTTTGTATTTCTCTTCTGAACTGGACGTACGCTTCGAGGCAAGGCCTATGGGATGTAACTTGGTGACGGTCGCGCCACTTGGAAGGTTTGTCGTGAATCGCTGTGCCAGAACGGCACCAAACACGTCTTTGCATCCGTCGGTTGTCAAGATAAAAGGTGATCCATCCCACTTTGGAGCTCAAAGTACTGGTTCTGATGTCA